GTTGATTTGTATTTAAATTGGTTCAATTCTATAATCAGTTTGTGGTTACAAATTCATTCATGGCTATTGTAACATTATTTGCGTTAAATATAAAATTAACTGAGAATTTGAAACCTCTCTCATACTAGAACTATATAAGGTGTTCTTCTTATTCTACACACCAAAAAAATTTGAGAGTTCTTTCTTCACTCTAAGTTTCTCTCTTCCATTTGTTTCAAGAGTTTAGTGCTTAGTAATTTAGATAGTTTAGTTCTTTATTCTAATTTGGTGATAGAATTGTGAGAATTTTTAGTTCTGAAGTAATGACGATGTGATATTCAACTACTTTCAACCATGTATCGGGAGAGAAACGCTATCAGTCTTCTTGCATCACAGTGGGGGGTGGAATCTGTTTTAAGAAAACTGTGTATAACACAAGTCTCGATTTCTTTCATTACCACTACTACCTCAACAACCATTTTCTCTAATTTTATTGTTACTTTGTTTATTGTAATGTTTCTTTTCATTATTTTATTTGTACGATTCTAGTAGTATTTCTAATTTGCTTTTTATATTTTTCCTAACACAACTTATGATAAAATTTTCTATGGTACCACAAGTCTTATTCCTAACTATGTGTCTCATGTGCAAGCAAACAACACTTCATGGAATAGGCAATTTGAGAGAAGTCTCGTGTTATTTCAAAATGATACAAACTTCTATTAAAATTCTTCACAGTCAAGTTTTGCTTCACAATCTTCTAGACAACCATTCATTGCTTTACTATATTGATTATCGAGATTTTGTTTTTATGCAAAATCAAACAAGGATAATGACTCCTATAGAAAAATGAATAAACTTCGGGCATGTTATAGAGTACTGGTCAGATCCTAGTCTGTGTTGGTACATAATATTTTGTGCAATATACATGTGCGACTTTGTACAATTATTAGCGCTGTAGTGAAAAGCTCGTGCACTAGCTATGTGCTCGGTTGTGCACAAACCCACCAAACTTTTCATTTTAACGTGACTTTAATTCCTGTTTTCTTTAATAACAAAGGCCATTTCTGTTTATACAAGATAACGATTTGAATTCCATAAATCATATTGTATATTAATTTGAAATCCGTGTATTTATAATATAATGATTTGAATTACATAAATCATATTATGTAGTAAACATTGTCCACATATAAACATCCGAACCTTTGGTGAAAAGTGGGAAAAATCATAAGATAAGAAAGGTCCACAGAAGGTTGGGAAGTAGTACACTGGTTCACTAGATTCTACCACTGCGAGGCCCATGGCAGCTCTCTGGGTCCCTATTGACGCTGGGGTACGAAAGTATGTGGAGCAAACGGGATTAGATACCTTGGTAGTCCATGCCGTAAACGATGAGTGTTCGCCCAGCTAACATGTAAAACACTTCGCTTGGGGAGTACGGTCACAAGAACGAAATCAAAGACATTGATGGGGCCTGTACAAGCGGTGGTCGTATGTCACATAGCTCTCTCCAAAGCTGAATTCAAACTATCATAGCAATCCAATTTTAAGAAAATAAAGCTATTTTAAGAGGTGTCATCCGCTGCCTCTGTGGTTTCACAAAGGAATTGAATGTAGTTCATTCAAGGCTTACGACAGAATTAGTGGGAAGTGTATCCATTTCTATTGAAGAGCACCCATATCTATATATCAATGGGTTTAGTGCAAAGATTTACGAGTTTCTTAGAGAGAGTTGTCTCACGCCTCTAGATATTCTCGACCTATATTTCGGGTACAAGTACCCTTTTGTTTAAAGGTTATTCAAGCTTTTTCTGGGAGTTTGACTTGGGTTACTTTAGCGCTAAAGCCCTTGGTACTCGAACATTGGCTCAAAGCATTTTCTCTACTCCTTCTTACCTTGAAAAAGCAGGGACACTTTACATTCTTGAATCGATAACTTCCAATCCTTTGGTAGCAAAAGCACGAGTGGGCCTACTTGCAGTGCAACAAGCTTCTTGCCTTAATTAAGAACAAATTATTTTCGATGATGATGTTCTACTGGTACTCTTACATCATATTCTATTGCATGTATTGTCATTTTGTTTTACCTTTCCCACCCCCTCGACTAGGAAAGAGGTCCAAAATTTTCAAATTCAATAACTCTCGCTATCTCAAAATTCCAATCCTTTTTTTCCTAAACAAATACATACATGCAAACTCAATAAAATGACCCAAACTCCGTCAATTGTGCCTTCTATAACCAAAAACTAACGTGGTATTACTAGTAATAATTAAATAATGATAGTTTGTGTATAAGCTATGATTGCATCCGGATTTATCATGTGACAAACCAAGGAGGAAGGTAGCCACTATTCAAGATTAGTTGAGCGAAACTTGAATACCCTAGTCCCTAAAAAAATAAAGATGGTTTTAAAAAAAGATGATGACAATGGTCAATTCTTATTACTAGGATCTGTAAGCCTTACCTAATCAAGTCATCCATAATTACAAAAGAAGATCCTTAATTTTAGGATCCGACTTTCCATATAAATCTCTAACTATGTCAATCTCCATATCAAAAAATAAAATAAAAAAACTTGTTCGCTAAGAAAGTAAAAACCGCAAGTGCATTGATCGCGTTCAAGTAATAAAAGTGGACATTTTGAATTGGGGTTTTCGATCCCTAGAAAAATGTATAATTTCGATTACACAACTTTAATTAATTTAATTCTAATAATAAAAATAAACATACAATAAAATTATGATTTTGGAAAAGACTAAAAATTTAAAAAATAAGAAAATATAAAAATCTTGGGAATTTCAAAAGCAAACGTGGATGGTAGTCATGGCTTTGGTTAATCGTCGCTTAATTAATTTCCTAAAAGTCAATTAACAAATTAATCGTTTATGATATTAGACTCGATTTTTCAATTTTTCAATTTTAGTTAATTATCTTTCTTGAGTGAAATTAACTCTAATTGACTGATTTAACCTACTATATCTCTATGTCGATTCAAACCAAGCAATCGGATTAAATATTTGTGAGAATAACTTAATAGGTCACTTAGGGTTAGGGATATATCTCTATCCTCTACACAAATCTAGGATTTGTACAATTTGATCTTAAATGTACATTCTTCTCTTGAACAATATGCAAATCACAAATCATAATCATTCATTGGCCACATAAATGAAAATGCGATGAATACAATAGTAGAAATACATAAAAATAAGCAATTTAACATTAGATAGCAAATATTAAAATTAATTAAAAGCCAGATTAAGTTAATAACATAAATCCCAAACAAATATTTAGCCCATGTTATATAAATGGTAAAAAGGAGAATATTTCATAAAATACATTGCAAGTTTGACAAAATAATGTAGAAAATACAAGATTATAACGAAACCCCTTTTTTGTTGGATTTTTGAAGATGAAAATTCCTTGATTGTGATTTCTCTAAAACATTGCCAAATCCTTTGATTGCCTCTCATTGTGCTCTAGATTTTGTTCCAAAAAATTACCAAGGAAAAGAAAAGAAAAAGAAATAAGAAAGAAAAAAAAAGAAAGGGTAAAAAAAGAAGAAGCCCATACGGTTCCCCCATCCCTAGCCGCTGGTTTATTAAAAACCTAGAAACTATCCCAAATTTGCAGCCAAGTTCCTGGGTTTTGGAAAGTTAAAACCTAATCCTATTTTTTATTTAAACTTGGCACCTAGGTGCCGAGGCTCTATTCACCGCCCATTTTTTTTTTTTTTTTCATTCATTTGGGATCTAGGTTACTTAGATAATTGCACATCAGGTCTCTCAACTTTGATCTTGTACAATTTGGTCATCAGATTTTGACTTTTATCAATTTTGCCCTCAATTGCATCCCAAGATCCTCAAATTCTGGCACTTTTGAACTTTAGTCCCCAACTTCACATTTTTGTATGTTTTTGGCTCCATTTTGTCTTGTTCTCTTTCCTTGGATGATTTTTACCTACAAAAGCAATAATTACATAATTGTGAATAGAAATTCACTCATTTAATCAATATTTAAGCTTACTAAGGTGTTAAACAATCGTGCAAAAACATGCTTATCAACATTTGTGCAATATCAAACATCTATAAAGACACCAATGATTGAATAAATTATGGGCCATTTTTAGAGTACTGATGTTTGTTGGTACACACCAACTTGTATATCATAACCGTGTATGATTATGTACAATTGTGCATGGTCGTGCGCAGCTCGTGCACTAGTTGTGACCCTATTGTGCACAAATCCCACCACAATTTATCATTTTAACTTGACTTCTCTTCTTTGTTTTTATCACAAATGCCACTTGTGCAAGATAATGATTTGTATTCCACAAAATCAGCGTATACAATTTGAAATTCTCTTATATATTGTGTAATGATTTAAAGTCCACTTATCATATTAGATAATTATACGAAGCCCGCATAAATTTATGAACCTATAACATCACTCTTAGATTAATTTCCGTTACCTACATTTTCATTTTGTTTTACCCTAAACTCACTCAACCAAGAATGAGCTCCAAAAGTTCCAAATTCTATAGTTCTCACTTTATTGAAATATCAGTCCATTTCCTCCTAAATATGCACATATAGATATGTAAATACATATAATACATGACCCAGACATTGTGAATCGCGCTTTCTATCACAACAACTCACATGTTTATTGAAATAAATTAAGAATCGTCTTAAAAAAAAGACGATTAGTTATATAGTTATAAATCCATTATTCACGAGCCTTGCCAAATCAATATAAGTAATCGACAATCTCCAAAAGAAGATCTTCAATTTAAGGATCTAGCTTTCCATATAAATACAATCATAATATTAAAATAACATTAGAATGTAGAAAAAGAAAACATACTAAATGCCTTAAATATTACTTTTATAGAAGTCCGATCATTTTTGGAAGAAGTTTATTTCTTCAATGGTAAAATATTCAGGAGAAGGAATGCTTGAATTTTTGCAACGATGCTATCGCACAATTAAGAAGAAAGAAATTGCCATAATCTATGTGTTCAAAATAATAATGATAATTTATGTTTGTCTGACAAAATTGTACATTCCATGCTTATTTGTTGTGTAGTCACAGTTCAGTGTGTATAAATTTGCACTCCCTATTTCTGAGGCAGTAAAGCTTGTCCACTGTTCTTAGTTCACTCGCTTAACCTGAAAAGTGCTCTCTTTTTCCTGCCTCAAGTCTTGTGTCTCTCTCGATCAGTTTGATGCATTTTTCCATTGTCGTTTAGCTGTATCCAACAATTTATACTAGCTGAAGATGTATTCAATGATTTGAAGATTAATGAAAAAATAAAGTCATGATATACTAATTGCATGTTCTACATATGATAAACTTTTCTATGGTAGCACCAAGTCTTATTCGTTACTACTTGTCTGAGTTGTCTCGTGTGCAAGAAAATGACACTTCATAGAATACGTGTCATTTCAAAATGATACAAACTTCTGTAAACTTCTTCTCGTTCAAGTTTTGCTTACAATCTTCTAGACAGCTTCAAATCCATTCCCTTGTAAAGCTTGGATTGTCTGTTTCATTGACTACCCAGTCATCATATTTCACTGCTCCTCGAACCCCAACAAAACCACTAATTACCGCTAGAATCAACAACCACGATACAGCAAAGAAACCACTAATATCAACATCATATCATTTTTTTTCCGCAAAATCAAAAAGCACAAAGACACCATTAGAAAGTTGAACAAATTACAGGCCATTTTGCAGAGTACTGGTGTTAAGTGGTGTGCGTTGGTGCAAAACATTATGTGCCATATCCGGTGCGGCTTTATACCATTATTAGCATTATAGTGTGAGGCTCGTGAACTCGATTATCTACATGTGCATATATAGATTTATGCATAAATCAATGTACAAATTAGGGTTTTTTTTTTTTTTTTTTTTTTGAATGATGATTTTCAGTTACCGTAATGAAGATGGTGAGCTATAGTTGGATTTTGACGAGGATGTCCAATTTGATAATGACAAGCGTCGGCACGATCTCCTGGAGGATGGAAATGATGATGGCTAGTACAATAAAAATGAGCGTGAGCAATCATAAAATCCCGAAAGCGATTGATCAAAATATCCTCTTCAACCCCAGGGAAGGACTCTGGTTTCTCAGATTTCGGTATTGAGGATGATGAGGGTGGGTTCGATAGGGTTTAGTTGGTGAGGAAGATGATGTTGAGGGAATTGTGAGGGATGATTACTCAGACTGTGGTGGTAAGAGGAAGAGGAAGAAAGAGGATAAGTGAGGAAAAGAAGTGGAAGGGGAAAAGAAATTTAAGTAGAGGAAGAGTGGAAGGACACCGAGGATTACGAGGCTGATCCTGAGGTGAAGAAGATGTGGGAAACGATTGAAGGCGATGATTCCGAGGTTTGTGTCCTTCTGTTAAACTAATATCAAGTTCGGAAATGTTGTTTGTACAGTTCGAGCTTCCAAGGTTTGTGTCCTTCTGTTAAATTAATATCAAGTTCAGAAATGCTGTTTGTACAGCTCGAGCTGTACAGCTCAGGCTACAGCCCCCTCACAAGTGGGGGGGCCAGTAAATTTTTTATTACACGTGGGCCCCCCGAACTGTGAAAGGGCTGTACACGGTGCTATGCACCGTGTTATGTGCACAGCACTGCCCTATCAACTTGACTTTTGCAAGTTTATTATTAGATTTTTATAGGTGCTTTTAGATGGGTTAATTCGGAAGAAATTGCTAAGATTATGCAAACCTTAACTGGATTTTTCGATGGTTGAAATTTACTATTTCTCTGTCAAATCTATAAAATTGTTGGTTATTTTATGCTTGTCAATTACTCTTCCGATGACTTAGTCTTAGGAAGTTTTTTTGTTGGTGGATTTTTCGTTTTACGATTTTTTGTTAAGTTATGTGAATTTACTGATCCGAATTTGGATATCATCGATACAGTTAAAAATTTATGGGGTTTATGTTAACTTCGTATGTTTTCTCATTTAATATGAACTCAAAAAGTGGGTTTTGATTTTTGTAAGCAACAATTTGAAATCTTTTATAGGCTTATTGAAGTAGAATACAAATTTGGGACGATGTGAGCGTGTTTAAGTGGATGTGCATTTTGTTGCGTACGAATATGTGTGGACCAATTTTGTTAATGGAATTTTGGTTTTATGATTTTTTTATTAAGAAAGGGGAAAAAGAAATTTAAGTCGAGGAAGAGTGGAGGGACATGGAGGGATTATGAGGCTTATCCTGAGGTTAAGGAGATGTGGGAAAAGATAGCAAGCAGTGATTCCGAGGTTCGTGTCCTATTAATGAAATATCAATTTTTTTGATGATGCATTGTCTTCTGTTAGGTCGTTATCAGATTTTCATAGGTGCATTTAGATGGGTTAATTCGAAAAACTTTGCCAGGATTATATGAACGTTGACTGGATTTTTCAATGGTCAAAATCTATTAAGAGTAGTTTCTTGGTTAAGAAGTCGTCTACTTGATATTTCACCGAAACTAAGTGCTTCAAGAATTTTGAATCTTTGTTTCTCTCGAATAAGATCACTTTGTTTAGCTGATCCTCCAATAATATTCACCAATTTGTGTATTGAAGTGAAGAAAGCTTCAATTTTTGGATTTTTTGTGCCACGGCTACAAGTTCTAGTTGAAGTTGATGAGCAAAACAATGAATGGAGTAAGCACTTGTGTTTTTTTTCTTTTCTCCAAAATAAGTGATTTGAGATTATTATACTCACCTCGCATATTACTCGCTCCATCATATCCTTAACCTTTCAAATTAGATATACTTAAGTTATGCGTGGAGAAAAATTGATCAATTGCAGCCTTAAGTGCAATAGTTGTGGTACTTAAAACATGTGTGATACCAATAAAATGTTTCAATACATGCCCATTTTTCACATAACGAATGACAACTAGTTTTTTTCTTTTATTGAAATGTATCGAGATTCATCAACTATAATCCAAAACAAGCTATCCCCTATATCTTTTATAATCACATTAAGAGTTGCAAAAAAGAGATAGCACTCACAATATCTTTCTGAACTTGTGGTGATGTCAATTTGTGATTTTTAGGTGCATTCATCAAAGCAACAGCCTTAATCTCAGCATTATGATCACACAACCAATGTAATAGTTCAAAAAAGTTCCCCCGATTGTTTGAATCTTTAGATTCATCATATCCACGAAAGGCCATCCCTTGTCGTGGAAGAAACCGAACACAATCAATTGATGCATTCAAACGAATTTGATACTATTCAAGCTTGATGTGATTGCTTAAAGAAACACGATTGAATGCTTTGTCCTTGATTCTTGAATGATTCATATTGGATCCAAGCTTGATTGTGTGCACTACTTGGTGCCCCGTGTTTTCTAATAATTTTCTTTCTTTTCCAATTTGAGAATCCACCATTAACAAATAAACCACCACTTAAGCTAAAAAGATAGTAGTATAAGCAAAATACATCTTTTGCTATACTATATTCCAACCAACTAGGATACTCGTTATACCATGAAAAACAAAATCACCTATCTTTATTACCATTCTTTTGGGTGGAAATTCATGATTGCGAGGCTAATATGAACCCCTTTGGACATATGCTCTTCGAATTGCATCTTAAACAACAGCATCATAATTTTGTATTGGAACCCTCAATCCAGAATCCAAAGGAAGTTGTGCAACATAAATTCAAGCCTTTCATTCCCAACATCCTTGATATTTGTTTCAATTGGGACATCTCCAAGATTAGTTCCACCCATTTCATCACCAAGTTCGTCATCCTTTTTATCTCCAATATCATTTCCATCCTTTTTATCTCCAGCATTTCTTTCATTAACATTTTGCTCATCCCAAGGAAACGCAAATTTACGTTTAAAGTACTTTTCCATTATTGATACAAACATACAATGAAAAGAATCAATTCAAGTGAAAAAGGAATCATTCTATCAATAGTGATTTAAGTTACTAAGTTTAACGGTCTCATAAATTACAATCTCATTAATAATTTCGCATCTATTTTGAATTGTTGATGCAGTCCCCAACTAAATCTCACGAATCACAATTCAAAAACACAAATCACAAATTAATTATCCATCAACAAATTTACAATTTACAAATCACATATTCACAAATCACAAAGCTAAAATCATAAATTAACCGGAGCCACTGGACGGGAATTAAAATCCAAACGTTATACTAACCTTAACGCTCTGGTGGACGACGATGGAGGACCCGAAAAGCCAAGAAAATCTGTGCAAGCAGAAACAGATTTCTTGAACAACTCAAAGAATAAATGGGCTTCCCATTTAATTCTTTTTTCACCAAAATAATGCTTGTAAGTAATTTTTTGTTTTGGAAACAGAATTTCTTGAAATGGGCATGTGTAAGAAAATCTCAACATATAGACCTTCCCCTCCATAACCACCTAAGAACATAAACCAAAATCTTAAAAACAAGGAGAAATGTATGGGAACTAAAGTAATGGGAAAGTAAGTAGAACCATAATTTCTCTCTCATCTCTTTCTTTCCTAGTACAAAAACCTTAGCTTTGAAGAATGAGAATATTGTAATGAAGAAGTTTCACAGAAAAAAGGGTTACAATTACATGATTAAGAAATTGAAATATTGAATCCCAAATTCCATATATAAAATTGCAGCACATAAGAGGAATAATCTCCTTACAATTCTGATTGTATTGTTGTCTTTAGCCATTTGTGGTGGTAGAATCGCCGATGAAGGAATTCGAGTGGTCAGCATGGGTGGATTAAATGGATGGGTTTTGCTTCAAAGTTTGGAATTGGGAGCTACCGAGCTGAGAGACTGGATTGAATTGGGAGTAGGATGGTTTTTTGCATTGAATTTCAATTTGGTAGTGGAATCTAGGGATTGGAATTTGGGATGGTTTGGAGTCTTTGAATTGGAAAGTGGAAGGGTTTTTTATTACTCCATTTTTATCATTTTTATCAAAACGCTACTAACCTTAACGCTCTGGCGGACAATGATGGAGGACTGGAAAAACCAAGAAAATCTGTGCAAATAGAAACAGCTTTCTTGAACAACTCAAAGAACAAATGGGCTTCCATTTTTCCTTCTTTTCTCACCAAAATAATGCTAGTAAGGTTATTTTTTATTTTGAAACTGAATTTCTTGAAATGGGCATGTGTAAGAAACTCTCAACATATAGACCTTCCACTCCATAACCATCTAAGAACTTAAACAAAAATCTTAAAAACAAAAAGAAATGTGTGGGAACTAAAGTAAGGGGAAGGTAAGTAGAACCTTTAATTTCTCTCTCCTCTCTTCCTTTCCTAGTACAAGAACCTTAGCTTTCAAGAATGAAAATACTGTAATGAAGAAGCTAAACACAAAAACTGGTTACAATTACATGAATAAGAAATTGAAATATTGAATCCCAAATTCCATATATAAAATTGCAGCATATAACAGGAATAATTTCTTTACAAATGGCTAGGTTTTGCTTCAAAGTTTGGAATTGAAAGCCATCGAGCCGGGAGACGGGATTGAATTGGGAGCGGGTCGGTTTCTTACATTGAATTTCAATTTGGCAGTGGAATCTGGGGATTGGAATTTGTGACGGCTTGGAGTCTCTGAATTGGAAAGCGAAAGGGTTTTTTTTTATTATTATTCCATTTTTATCATTTTCTATCTTATAAAAAAACTTCCTTTTTAATTGGTGGGTCATGTGACCCATCAGGACCAATTGGCAAGTCCGCCAATAAAGAGAAGTGGGAAATGATTGCAGGTGGAGATTTCTAGCTTTGTGTCCTCTTGCTAATCTAATATCAGTTTTTTTTGTTGCTGCATTGTCTTTTGTGAGTTTATTATCAAATTTTTACATGTGCATTTAGATGGGTTAATTCGAAAAACTTTGCTAGGATTATGAAAACTTTGACTGGATTTTTCGATGGTTAAAATCTAAAATTTTTCTGTCAAATCTATAAATTTGCTGGTTGTTTTATGATAAGTGTGTTTTGTGCACTTATCTAGGCTATATTACTAATGTTTTATATCATCAAAATGTTCGTATTGTACTTAATTTAGTTTAATTTCCTTTTGTTTCAGTACTAGACTGTTTTCTAAGCAATTGAAAAGAAAGAAGGATCAATTGACCATTGGAAGGAAGTTTGGGGACTAATATGCATTTAAATAAAAGCTAAATGACCAAAATTGAAGTGATTTAAACTGGAGGATCAAGATCAAGGAAAGAATGAAGAAGAGGACTAAATTGCAACAATTCAATAGTTGATTCAGACCATAAAATGAAGATTGAAGGCATTACGGGTTCAATTGGATGCTATTAGAAGTTAAAGGTCCGAAATTGCAAGAGAAAAGGACATAAAAAATCAAGAATAAAATCTAAGGACCAAAATACAAAGGT